ACTGAAAGAGACTTGCAGGACGTGTAAGGACAAAGGGTAGGGGGGGGGAGGGAGGAGAGAGAGAGAGAGACGGGGTCAGTCCCACAGATCACCAGAACTCAAGTGTAGTTTTGTATGCATTTGTATGCATTTCCTGGAGCAATATTTCCTTATTTAGAGGGCAGGATTTCATGTATGTCCCTACCTGCAGTTATCCCCTCACCTCCCAAAGTAGTAGGGCTATTTACACCATCAAACCTCTCAGGGCCTGAGTGAGAAATGCAGATGCTCAAGTCATGATCAGGCCCTATCATAGCAAATAAATAATTCTAAGAAGTTCTGATGAACAATGAAAAACCTGCCACTAGCCTTGAGAAACACTGCCTCCAAGAAGTTTAAAGCCATCCCTCAGTAATAATAGTATACATAAGGTATGCTAGGTAAACCCCTACACCAGGCCACTCACTAATGCTGTTTCCAGGAATACCACAAAATTCCCCTTCAACAGCATGCAACTTTTAAGCAAGTTTGGCTCCTCTACAAGTTCTAACACACTGGCAGAGGGCAGTTTATTTCATCTTCACTGACCAGCAGACCCTAACAACTTTCCAAAGGGCCAAGTTCTTCCCTCCCTTCAAATCAAGGAGATCAAAGGTTCTGTGAGTCAGATTCTGCTCTCAGTTATACTGGTGTAAAATTGGAGCAACTCCTATCACCCAGTGGAGTTGTTCTAGATGTTCAACAGTATAATTAAGAGCAGAATCTAGCCCCACAAATAAAAATGTAACATATAGGAATGTTGCCCAGGTGTAAAGAGGGCAGAATTAGGCATTAATTATTAGTCTGGTACACACAGAAACATATCACACTACTGTGCTCATCCACAATCCCTTGATAATTCTAAATTGAGGAGATTGCAAGTCAGAGGGTTTTTACTGAGCTCTGACATGCTCCCCAGCTCTTGCAGGGTGCATTGCTGGAACTACACTGGGATTTTTTGGGAGGGGAGGAGCTAGGGAAGTGGTAACTCAAAACAGAACTTGTATCTGCAATCTCTGTTCCCAAAGCAGGTCAAATTCATTAACTCCACTGACAATGGATGGGTCTGTCCCAACAAGTTTATAGACTGGAATAGCTTTACAGCCTCTCTAGTAATTAAACAAAACATGCTTAGTGCAAAAACTAGAATTCCTTAGAACAGAAAGGTCCAGCACAAGCCAAGGGAAGGCATTTTGCACAGATTTTCTGTTCCTCTGCCTCCTGTCATGACAGATAGAACAGCGTTGAGGAGGCTGGACAGAACAGACATCCAGTTATCGGTTTTCCATTCAGCATTAGAACTTGCTGCACATGTCCTGCATGTTACCAGTGCAGAGACTCAAACCAGGACCCTTAAAAACTAGGCCCAGCAGCTATACCAGGAACCTTTGCTTCTGGCTGACATGGTAGAAAGTGCACCATGCTGGTCTGTCTAGGCACTTATATGCCCCATCACTGTCGCATCGAAGCACTCCCAAATATTTAAATATAGAAATAATGGTCTCAATCTTGAAGGTTCTACAAAGAGCTTGCTACTCACTAAGAGCCAAATTCACTCCTAGGATGAAGTGGGAGCAACACCGATTGTCTTTAGCCAGACAGAGTTCCATCCATTTATACCAGTGTTGAATTCAATTCTTACTGGGGGAAGGTGGGTGACTGGGTCTGGAGTAGGAAGGTTATTTCAGATTAAAGGGAATTTGAACCTCGGGTGCGTTCTGTGTTTGAAAATACTGGCTAAAACAAAGGCTACTGTAAGAGCAGAGACTTGTTCATAGACACGGGCTGGGCATGAGCCTCTAGGGAAAGACTATCATGTCAAGTTCAGCAAAAGTACAAAGCTAGACTGGATGGCTCAGGGGACTGGCATGAGGCCTTTCCAAGGCTGTCAATCTGGCACCTTTAACCAGCACTGAAAACAGGTCACTTGAAACACAAAACGAATCAATTACAAGAGAACCTGTAAGCAACAGAGAAATGTGAGTTTTCAATGTCCCATGTAAGTCAGTCCCATTCCCTGCAGCTGCCTGACTGAAGCTCGTTAGCTTAACTGCTATAAACGCAAATACAATCAAGTCAAAACCAGAGGGAAGATAATTCCTTTTAATTGTTAACAGCTTGGCTCAGGCTGAGGGAGGAGAGAAATCAGGAGGCATTAAAAGAGGTGTAAAGAAAAAAGGACCCAAATGTTCAAATTGTTTCTCCTCCCGATAACCGAAACATTGGTTCAGTCATTTATTCGTGGGCCTTGCAAAGCAACTGCAGGCAGAGATACCTGGCTTGCATCTGTTTATCCTTCTACTCCATGCTCCCCAGTGGCTGCAATAAAATACTCCATGATTTATTGGGCCGGGGTGAGGGGGACGGAGAAAGAGATGACCCAGGCCTGGAATTATTGATGAGACAGGATTAAGACTATAATAACGTGTGTAAATTAGCCAGCAAAGTGTTCCCAGCAGCTAAAGGTTCCCTAGAACTTTTACCACTGCCACAGTAGAATTCTTTTCCCTGTTAAGATTTAAACAGTCTTTAAACAAACATGAGAGGGAGAGGTAGGCAAGCTCAGCATTGCAGCCAGCCCCACAGAGACCCCACGGTGGAACATCTCCCTCAGTAGCTTTAAATTCTCTTGGGCAAAGTAGGAGAAGAAGCACCCCTCTCTCTTTCTGACTAAAAATGAACTCCCTCAGAGCTAGTGAGAGGTGCTGAAGCAACGGCCCTTGAGGCCGACAGCGGGTAAGTATCCACAGAACAGGCACAGTACAGCCCACAGTAAAGCAAGCTCCTCTCACATCCATCCTACTAATCTCTCTCAATCCTAAACTGCAGGAACCCCCTCTTGGGGAAATTCAGTCCTCATGCCCATTTGATATTTGGCCCCTCCCCTGTAACAATGGGGATCATGAACAGTGGTGGTGACTTGTGTAATGTTAGCACCTGTCCATTAAGGAATGGGCTGAGACCCAGCAACTTGTTTCCCACAGGACACCAGACAATCAACAAAATGGAAACTAGTCAGAGGTAGCTGCACTGGGTTCAGACTGCTGACCAAGGCGAGGAATCCATGTACTTTCCCATCACCAATTCCCCTCAATCTATTTTCTAGCGAAGATAAGGTCATCTTTATTTAGGCAGAGGAAGGAGAGAAGATTGCGTCAGGCCATGACAAATTACAGGTGTTATTTCTTAATATTTATGCGTTCTAACTCTGGTTTTGGGAAGACTGTCTACATCCAGACATAGGGCAGGCTGGGGCTGTGCAAGATTGCCCCTAGAACTCTGCCAATGCCCCTTAATCCTGACCTGCAGCATCCCCTGGTATTCCAGTCCTGGACCCGATGCAGCTCTGCCAATGTAAACCACTCTCACTATAGAGCAATAGGGGTTGGGAGGAAACCCAGAATTACTGTCCCTTTTTGGCATTAGGAAGGATTTGAATTCAAGCCTTTAGAGATTAAAAGACTGACACTTAGACTTATGCCTAACACACACTGATGGCATGAAACTCCACTCTTAACATGTGTGATGGTGTCTGCAGTCCCCACACGGAACGAGGGCAATAATAAGGTAATACAGAGTGAGGGAGGTCCCACCCCTCAACATGTGCAGGGCATGCTCCCAGTAGAGGAATAGTTTAAAAGGACACTGGTAGAGCAGCAAAAGTGGGGAAGGAGCTGCAGGCTGTGCCAAGAAGCAAGGCTGGTGCTGGGAGCTGTGACAGGAGTGGGGCAACAGCTTTAAAGATGTTCTAGCAGCAGGGAATCCGGATTGCCCACATCTCTGGGAAGCTGAGAGCCCTACAAGAGGCTGCTTTGAACAGGATGTTAACAGACCAAGTGGAGTCTTCTGAAACAGTGACCACGCCCCAAACAGCAGAGCTCTGGTTTGATAGGAAGAGACCCAGGGAAAAGTGTAACTTGGGGATGGCTCAATTACTAGTCCAGACACTTTGACAAACTTTCTATGGCCCTGGGTTGGGACCCAGTGGGGTGGGTGGATCTGGGTCCCCCTACCTCGCACCCTGTTCCTCTGCTGTGGCAGAACTCGAAGGGGAGCAATATGAGCATTCAAGAGGGATTGCGGCCTGCCACCTACAACTTGGCTGGGGTCCCCTCTGTGCCTTGCCTGACCCCTAGGCCAGCTGGTCATCAGACAACCCCTTGTAAAAGAGAACTCTAGCAACAGCCTCACACAATACAGCTCCATTAGAATGATACTGCACTTCCTTTAGAATACTGTAGTATTTTTTTAAAATGTGTCTTCTCCAGGGACCTCAAACTTTTTCCCAGCATGAATCCCAGTGTGAGAGAGAGGTTGTGTATTGGATACCTCCCCTCCCAGGCACAATCACATAGCAGCCCTGTACCAATTCCAGCAGTTGCTCACATGGCAAAGTAACATTTCAAAGGTTTTTCGAGTATTGGGAGCTTATTTTAATGCAATTTAGCAGCAGGAAATGAGGTGGAGAGCCAGCCCCACACGGCTGGCCAGCTCTTCACAGCCCACTAGCAAGCGCTCCACAGGGCACAGTTTGAGAATTGCTGCTCTGAAAGGATCCGCTGTCCAGCAGATCATCCCCACCTCACCCTGACTCCTACCTGTGCTCCCTCTGCTTCAGACTTCAGTACAGTAAGGAGGAGACAAAGCATA